CGCGGATGCAATAGTGGGTATATACATGATAGTTGTGTTTAGTAGCAGCATTACATAATAGTAGTGCCATACAATAGTGGCATTACATGATAGTGGTGCCATACAATAGTGGTATTACATAATAGTGGTGCTATACAATAGTGGCATTATATAATTGTGGTGCTATACAATATATATGCACTACACAATAGTCATTATGTACACGAAAAATTGGCAATCTTTCATTGGAGTTCTTGCACGGCAAAGTAGGCTTCACATACGCCTTCTCTGGCTGCCTCACAGATGCACAAGAAAATAAAAGACCCTATGGCCAATAAGACAAGAAGTTTAGTTTGAAAAAATACCTTCACATCCTGTGCAGCAACTGACGTTTGGAGATAAAATATTATACATCTATACTACATATACACGCCTGAATTATAAGCGAATGAAATCAGCCATTTCCAGGTTTAATCAGTTGTGTTGTTGACCCACAATATTACCTTCTGATGAGCTTAGGGCTGAGACTGGCTGGATTTTTGCGGTAAACATAGAAGGTATTTGTGTTATCACGATCAGTCGCAACTATGGGCAGATTTAGTGATATTCGACTAGACTGCCCTGTGTTACACTGAGTTACAAATACTACATTACAAATGACAGTGCATACTGTGCACCGGAACCTGTGCTATTGACAGTAATACAAAGTGAGTCATATAAAACAATACTACAGGTTAAATACACGTATATATATATATATATTACAAGCAACATCCATTCATCCAGAATTAGGTGCATGCAAGAACAGTCATGGACGACTTACATGTATATGAGCACAAGCCACCATGTATTTATCACATTAACTGACAAGTATTGGTACTACTTACAGCTGCCTCAAATGCTCTTCTCAGAGTAGCCAGCTCATACAGCACACAGCCCAGTGCCCAGATATCACTCTTCTGTGCATAAGGCTTACCCTCACACAGCTCTGGGGAGATGTAGCAGGGGGTGCCAACAACCTAAGAACAAGCACCAAAAAAACATTTTCTACTATGCCACCATTCAGTGATAATCATCATAAAATGAAATTGCGCCAAACTCTACGTTTTAGCTACATGCAAACTTTGACCAAACTGGTTATCATTGGATGGTGTAAACATAGCTATTAAATGTTTACTGAATATCATTTATCAAAAACTTACAGTATAGGCTTTGCTTTTACTACTCAGCACTTTGGAGATTCCAAAATCAGATATCTTGATAACATTCTTCTTTTTGTTGAGTAGAATATTTTGTGTTTTCAAGTCTCTACAAAAAAAAATCCAAATTACAAGTCTGCTATACTTACATTACTGATTACAAACTGCTACAAATTGCTAGTAATGCTGAGAGGGTCTATGTCCCTCAGGGTACTGCCGGAACGTACCCTGGGCAAGGTCCGGTATACCGGAACGTACCCTGGTACTATTTAATATGCCAGACCGTACCTCGCCTACTCCACTAACGAGTCTACTAACGAGTCTACTACGAGTCCACTAACGAGTCTAGGGAGTCGCCTACGCCTACTCCCTAACCCTAACCGGCATATCAGATAGTTACCAGGGTACGTTCCGGCAGTACCCTGGGGGACATATACCCTATGAGTGCTAGTAATCTTTCATCACAAAAACGTGTAATTGAACAATTTCAATATTTAGCTCAATATTTTTGCCAACATCAAGGATGTGTCGGAAAAGGTTGAGGGGAATGCAATCTGAAATACAATCTAGGCAACTCATTTACTGATATTCCATAACATAAAACCCATCTATTTAGCTAGGTATCTGCCTAACTACCTACTTATTTACCTACCCGTCTCCCTGCCTGCTTGCCTGTCAATAACATATATACCTAGTATCACATGCATGTTGTGGCGGTTAAAAGCTGTAACAAGGCAGGCTCAAATTTCCATATGAATTTGTTGAGGTTGTGGTATGAGAGAAAGAGTATATTTTTAAGTGAGTCGATTGGTGACAGGAATAATGACTATCAAAATGACAGTCATCTAGGTTATAACCACATAATTTTGTGATTTAATGGTGTAGTGGATCGATAAACAAACCTCTAGAGTTGGTCACCCCCCTCACACAAACACACCACAACCACATTCTTGAATATATAGGGCACTCACTGATAGACCGGGATATCATACAAATAAAGTCAATGAAGTCTATGCATGACTGATTCTATGCAAGTAGGCACATGTTGCACGAACAGCTACTCTAACACACAGACATATAGTCCTAGTGAAACATTCTGGTAAGACCCTCACCTGTGTAGAATTTGCTTTGAGTGTACATGCTGCATTGATAACAGCATCTGCGAGAAGAACCTGAGGATTTCTTCTTCCTCCAACAAGTTGTTTCCTCTCTGTTGCAGGTAATCAAATACTGTCCCACCTAGACTTACAAATTAAATTACATAAGATAAATAACGAAGCAAAATGTAATAAGAACTCTAAAAGGGTGAGGCAGTTTCACCATCTTCTTGCCTTAAAGATACTGTCCCATTACACTTCATTATCAATAGGGACCTCATAATTAAAGCAGGTTTCATGTGATTAAAGTAAAACGAATATTAGAGTTGAATAAACATAATCAAGCTAGTCATATTCCATGGTCACAAATAAGTAAGCTTATTATTTTCTATAGAACACAGTATAGCAAATAAGAGAAACTATACCTTCAGCATACTCCATGACTATCATCAGTGCTTTATCTTCCAGAAAATTTTCATAATATTCAATGATGAACGGATGATCAAGCATTGATAAAACCTTTACTTCATTTAATGCAGCCTGTCGTTCATCTTTTGTCATCTGTTCAACCGGTATCTGCTTGATAATGATCAAGGTATTATCCGCAATCCTTTTACAGAGATGAACTGTTCTGTAAATTAGAAATTAATAAAAATGATCATTAAGTGACTACATTTAATTGACGTTGAAAAGTCAAAGTAGTTCCAACAAGTTCTAAAACATGCAGAAACAAATGAATACATTGCTTGAATATATAAAAGTAAAATACAACTTGGGGAAAAAAGCAAACCACTCAGTGATGCCACAGCACAGAATGGAACTCATCGCATAGGCTGGTATGGTACGTAGATAGCCTACTATAGGTACTAACCCATATGCTCCTCGTCCGACGACGCGTATCTTTTCATATTTCTCCATCATGAGCTATCTCTTATGTTTACTGTAATAACAAATATGGCGGCGACCTTATAATCTGCAAGACCATTATTACTTGTATAAAACAGATTATGCCAGGCGCTATGATTATGGTTAGATTTAGAGCTAGGGTTAGCAGGCTTAGCCTTTAGGGTTAGCGTTAACATTGCTTAGCCTGACCGGCCAGGCTATGACTATGAGAATAACGTCAATACAATATACATATCCATCGGTCTTCTGACATATATGACCATTTCTTGGAGCTAAGGAGTACTACACAGTACATCAGCTAGGGTTACCTCCTACACATTTACGTGGATGCCACCTGTCCCAATGACAAGTGGGTATGGGGTAGGAAGTGCATACTCGCAGCTAGGGCCTGCATACCTCCAAAATCCCATTGGTTGATACAAATCACGTGTCTGAAACTCCTGTTTTAATAAAACTTTTATGGTGCATTGTGACACTAACCCTAATCCTCACCCCTAATTAAAACTTAATTAAAAAAATTAACTAGATTTGTATCAACCGATGGGATATGGGAGGTATGTAGGCTCTAGCTGTGAGTGAAGTGCATCCATGCCAGGCCCGGGGGTAGGAAGGCGAAGGGGTTACGTTAGAACTATTCAACTAAAGCAGGGGTTCTTAACCTGTGGCTGTGGTCCATGGACTCCTTTGGGATGCGTGGATGGGCCTAGGGGGTCCGTGAACCCCATTGTATGCAAAATGTTGCGTTTGTGTGCTTATGTGCATTTCACTGGGGAGGAATCCGTAGCTTTCACCAGATTCTCAAAGGGGTCCCAGACTCAAAAAAGGCAATAACTAGGCCTACTGTCTGAACTAAAGAGTAAAGTTAGAACTTAGGGTTAGGCTTGTTTTTTAGGCTACAGTCCAGATCTGAGATCATGTTACAGGCTACATGATATCAATATTATCATATATTCGGCGCCATGTATTCTTCTATTAATGCATGGTAACTGGTAGGTGACACTGATATGATGATACTGGTACTGGTAGCAATAGTGATACACATACTGTCATACATAGGAACCTCAATGTTTACGATTTTTTCTACTGGAAGATGCCATCTTTGGTTCCACAGGCACAAGTAAAAGCTTAAATTACACCAGTAAATGTTTGTCTCTGAATCAAGACTGCTACATTAAAAAGTTTGCTAAATTATTTTAAATAACGTTTATTAATTTTTTGACATATAATTGTTTTTTGCTTGTTAACTATTGTGAGGTAAGGATATTAATTATTATTGTTACTAATTGTTACTTATTGTGTGATATGTGGCCATCCGAGTTGTTAGTGCTGCCCCCTAGCGAAGGAGAAAAGTTTTGAGAAAATTTCGAGTTCCCCCAAAAGTGAATAAAATGGGGGTAGCAACCAGTTCATATAATGCATACTTTAAAGAACAAGATGTAACACCAGATAACACGAAACAATCAACATTCGACCCAATGCTGGGATTCCCTAATGGCAGAAAAGAGCGAGGTAACAAGACTGTTGTTGTAACTTGTGGTTAAATTTAGCTGTAAATTAGACTTAGTCAATTATGCGTAGCTGAGCCTGTGACTGAGTGTGAAACAGAACTGACACAGTTCTAAAATTGGATGACATTCAGCATAAAGCTGCGAGATGGGTTTCCAAAAAACCATCAGTATCATGACAGTTCTGATGTTGTTTTGGCTGAACTTGATTGGCCTCCTCTTCGTGTCTGCTTGCTCCATGCTAAAGCCTAAACTTAATATAACCTTTCAATTTCACAAAATTTGTCATGGTCAGGTGTAGCTCTAGCCTCTAGTAGTAGTAGTAGCAGTTAATGAACGCGGGCTATAGTGCTAGAGCTAGGTCAGGTGAAGATTGCGCTGATTGGCATTTGCCATTTCCTCTTGCTTAATCAGTTAATGAAGCCAGTTCCGAGACATGCGTCTAAACAGAGGAATAGCTCCGACCTGTGATTGGAGGATAAAAATAGCCGGTATAGCCGCGCGTGTATTACTATTAGCCATATGGGCTCAGGGATAGAGAAGATGTCCAGTCCTATCTTATCAACTAACATCATCCTATCCAATCACCGTACTGGACATTATCTCTATCCTTGAACCAGCCTATGAGCAATACTGCGCGTGCATATTTGCTAATTAATTAGACTAATCGTGCTTCAATAGACTCAAAATTCACAGAGATTAAGGCTAATTGACATATGTCTATAACAGCTAAAATTGATTGAAATTTAACTCAAATCGTTTGCTCTATATGATAGTTAGTACACGTTCCTACCGGTCATAGCATAATAGCGTATGCAGCGGGAGTGGGCGTGGTCTATTTTTATCCTCCAATCACAGGTCGGAGCAATTCCTCTGTTTAGACGCATGTGTTCTGAGAGTTCGTTGCCCACGATCATCTGAGCGTAATCATCGCTTTGGAGACGTGCCATCTTCAAAGAATACCTAAAGGTTTAGCTTCTTTGTCTCTGTCATTCCGTATTGGAATTCTCTCCCGGCTTCCTCTTTAGTTAGTTGCAAACTTGAGACTTTTTCTACTGCGATTTGCAGTGTTGATCTGATTATTTGATCAACTTTGTCTCTTTTGTTGTTCGATATAGTCCCTTGGACTTTGAAGACTAATATTTAAGAGGTTACACAAACGCACTCAGTAACACTAACAGTCAGTAACACCAATGTCGATGATCAACTACTACTATACTAGTAATATTAGTAGAACTAGTAAAATAATAATAGTATTCTATTGTAACACCATGGACATATCAGCTTCCATATACCCCAAGGAGCTAGATAGTAGATATCATATACCCTACAACTCGCACAACAACCAGTACACCTCTGCACCCCCAGCAAAGTGCAATGCAAAAGTGGTAGGTCTTTAAAGAGGAGGCAGATTGTGGGGTGAAGCATGCATCAATAATCCCATGTTCATGAAATCTGTTCGCTGTGCTATCAAAATTATAACCAGCAAAGTGCCATATATAGCAGTTCAGCCACAGGCTAACCAATATCTTAGTTTAATTGGGGTGGGACGATTCATCTATATGTTTCATCTATCTATATATACAAACCTGGACTATACGCATATCGTTTGACTATTTACAATACAGTTGTCGATAATCTACTGAATAAAATCCATATGATTTAGTCGCATAGTCTCACCACAACATGAAAGAAAAATGACATAATTCACAGACTCGACGATATTGGTTTGTGAGCATTCACATGAATAGTGAAGTACTAGTTAAGTGTAGTTTGCTAGATGGTTTCCAGTGAAAGCTTGTTTTCATGCTTGTTCTTTGCAACATTGCAGTTATGATAGCAACGCAGGAGGAGATGGAGGCGAGTAACATATTGTTGGAGCAGCGTGACTACTGTGCTCACCTCCTGATTGACTGGAAACGATGCAAGCATGATAACTTCCCCCTCGCCTACAAATGCAAGCATGAAGGGCATGTCTATGAGCTGTGCCAATTTGATGAGTAAGTGGTATATATATACACACGCACATATGTATATATATATATATATATATATATCAAAAATATATATATCAGGGGAAAAATTCCTTTTTTTTCACGGGAGCTCTTTTTCAAAAGTCTGTGGAAAAAAATAGCTCTCGTCAATAATTTTACGGGAGCTATTTTGAGCCTGACGGGAGCGATTTCGGAGGTTTGAAGAGCGAATCGCTCATCGTTCCCGTCTATTTTTTACCCTGATATATATATATATATTTCGTATTTCAGACGTCAATTATTGTTATATTCTAGTACGTGTATTGGCTGCTAAACATGCCTTAGTTTGGTAATAAATGAATAATTGCCATAAGTTTTACAGAGTTTGTATAAATGATTTGCACACCCGAAAATAAGAGTGTCTGTGTGTCATGTTGAAACTTGTATGGAAAGTCAAAAACACACTACTTTCTAAAGTTAACCTTTGACTTCGAATGTTACAATGGCCAGCATTTGATTGGTAGCTGAAATCTGTAAACTAGCTATGTAATAGAGGTTACTAAGTGCAGAGACATACGTAGAAATTGCCTTATTCATTCATTAATTTCATTTTATTTCATTCTAATGAAATTTTAAAAACCAGACATCTGGCTACAAGGACACCCCATCCCCACCTGCATAGTCCCATCACTTTCATCAGCTCATACCTATTATCCTAGCCAGGGAAGACTTTGATGGGGGCCTGAAACAGGCTTCCGGCCTGTAACAGGCTATGCCAAGAGGACGTGGAATGGGAGGGGGGGGAGTTGGGAATTTTTCCCAATTTCTGATTGTTAGTCAACTAACTTTGCCAATTACTTGCTGATAATCAGTCATTACTGAATGATAATGACAGTGTTAGTGACGTCACAGAAGCCAAATTACAATTCAGTTTGTATTAAGTGTTGGAACCTCTGGTAGTTAGCTGTTAATTCATACATACTATGAAGATGATTTTTTACACCTCGTCTGAAACTGACATCACAATGGTCTCACGCTCAAAGTCGCTGACTGCTTTCTAAACCGTCACCATATTTTTCTCTTTCAGCTATGTTTTGAGAATGAAGGAGTACGAGCGAGAGCGACGACTACTAAAAAGGGCAAATCGAATTCAAGCGAAGGATTCGTCTGAAAGCTTAGAAGAGTAGTGACCATCCATAAATCTAGCTAGCTTTGATAGACTGGACGTTCCACGGCACAACAGATGTATGCATATTTGTTGGGAGGGGCCATCCTGCTGTTAATTAAAAGTGAAATAAATTGGGCAAATATAAATATTGAATTTATTTAACAATTTAAAAAAAAACACCAGTTAATGTGCATCTCCTTGCCACATCTTGCTCCAGCGACATCAATCATTTGTGTTTTCTAATACAGTTAGTATGTTGGTTGGTTGCTTGCAAAGTAATGCGTTAATACTTGTCAGTGCCCACTACACTGCGAATTTGTTCTTTACGTTTGTACTGACGAGTCATCTTAATAGGAGCTTGCTATGTTGGCATCAGAAAATTTCTGCTTGTGGCATTATATGCAGAGGTCCCCATGCAAGATATAGCCAATAAATATAGCTGCCACTGCATCATAGGAGATTACGAATGGATGCTTGGAGTATATGGATTTGTGGACTTTCAGATAGTGAAAATTGCGTTTGTTCTTTTAGATTCAACTGTTTCAATAAAATTATTAAAAAAAAAAATTAATTTCTGATGTTTAAATATTATATATAGATCGTAGGTGTGTGGAATTAAACAGGCTACCTGGCAAGATTGACAGGCCTGCTTTAACTAATCGGTGTTGCAAGAAGATTTAAAGCAATGCTTTGCAACAAAGTGCACAAAAGTGTGATGGGGCTTATAACAGTTATACATTTAAACCCCTTATGGGTTACAGACCAATTACTAGCAATTATTGTTTGATATCGCATTTTTCTTGAAGTCGGTGTGCTTTGATTAACACTTAACCGAAATATGAAGAAGAATGGTTTATACAGGGTGTTTTCAGGGGGCTGTATGGTGTAAGGTCGCCAGATTCCCCCATACCAATGTCAATATTATTACACGGACAATACAAGCCAAGGTCAACTTTCTAGATACGCCTCTAATATATATATATATATATATATACCACAGCATGTGTTAGTATATACTTATGGTTCTATTACGGGCGTGTGTGGAAGGTTACACTAAGTTTACCTTTCCACCATCATATGCATCCGGGACGCGTTTGCGTAGTGATTGGTTGCGCGGCATGTGTGCTGCCGCGGGCGTGAAAGACGCTCGGATGTTGCTTGCTTAGTCATAGATGTGCGAACCGAGGGCGTCGATTGGCGCTCTGGCAAGCGTGAAGGAGGGCCCGACGCGTGCAGCCGACCGCGTGTCCGCTTACTTCTCAAACAGACGACAAGCACATAGGTACGATCCGACACGCTGAAGAGTTCGTCTGCAATAGACGATATCTGATTTAAAAATGAAGACAAAGATCATCATCGCTTTACTGTTAGTGTCCCTCGCCAGCGCTGCTAGGGTAAGTAAAATTAACAATAGGTTCGCATAATTTATGTATGTGTTATTACGTGTATTGGGCAAGTACATGCTGAGATTATCATTATATGCTTACAACTTTTTGGTCGCTATATATATACTATAATTTTTTTTATCCCCTTTTAAATATATAACATATAGTACTTAAATGTATTTTTTAATTTAATTATGTGTGTTTGCGCGTTTTTCTCGTTCGTGTAGTTGCATCATCATGGACTTGGTAGATGTAAGGTCTGGCTAGATGGCTCTATACTCCGCACTAAATCGGTGCTAAAACTGCACAGTCATTGCATAATGCAGTTTGCACACTCCATTGATCATATTAAAACAAATTTGGTTCCACATCGTGTATATTAGAATATCGTGAACGCAATGACGCCCGCTCTTATTTCTGCTCGTTAGCATATGCGACACGGCATTTGAAGTAGTAGTCAACATTTCAGAGCGTGCGCTACATTATATTGAGACTCTGTCTTTAGGCGAACGTGATCCACGGGAACCTCTCTATACCTACACCAGTAACCCGAAGGTCACACAGGGCGGTTATATTAGAAGAAACTCATACGATATGGAAAACCATAATAATGACGCAATATCTATAACAGTCGTCATCACGAACTGCTGACGTCATAAACTATTATCTTCCATAGTTTCTCTCTTAGAGGTTTCTCTATGGTATATGCACAACTTATATTGATTAATACCAAATTTATGTGATCACATAATTATATATGTTATTAGTTGATTCAAATATGTTATACTTTCTCGATCATCGAATTAATGCTGTAAGTACGTGCATACATGGATAATTAAAGTTGACTTAATAAAGTCGATATATATTGGTAGCTGGTATTACCTTCCGCATTACAGGTATATCGTGTGAATTAAGTTGTATTCAGTATATACATATAAGCAAAGTGCACAATATTCTAGCGGTAAACGAAAATCTCACTGTTGTTTTTAAACATTGGCCCTATATATAGCTTGAATGTGCGATGTGTGATTGCCGCCTGTAACTATATAACGACGCGGATCAACAAGGCAGGAGGAGGTCTACATAGCTTCCATAATCATCAACAATGTGATGGCTGCTGCGTAAAAACAAGTTTACGTGCATTCCGGAACAGTGACACTCGGGAGTTACGTGCGCGCAGTCTTTTCTTCCGGCGAGCGAAAACTGGTTATGGCCTGCTTGGCAGTATATTTCGACATTCCCCGCGTGATGAAATACATAGCTTGCGCGCGTACAGCATCAAAAACGCGTCGTGTCGCTTAGATACTGTAAATAACTTGAAAGGTATATGTATAGCCTTTAGGAACGCCTGTCCGGATCATGATATATATATATATATATAAATATGATAATATATGATAATATGTATAAATATTGAAATATATATACAATTGATTCGACGGTATATATATACCACCGAATCAATTGTTGTCGCGATAAAAGGACGACCGGGTCTTGTTAATTCATGGCTGGATGCGAACGTACTATATATACATATATATGCCGGGGTTAGCGACTTTTTAGCTGCTGTTCTTCTTACATACACGGGCGTTAGCAGGGGGCGTAAGCCAGGATTTTTCAAGCTTGTAGGCCACGATATCTGCGGCGGAGCGCCACCATCGGTTGGCGAGGAGCGTCACAAGAAAATTTCTGCTTACAAACCGCCGGATGGCCGGAAAACGGCCCTTCCCGAGTGTTCATTCTGTTCCGCTGGCTCTTGCCTAATATGAGACCACCTCAATTCAATATCACTTTTAAGCCTTAAAAAACAACGAGTTTAAAATAGTTTTACGAACGAGCTTAAAATGTTAAAAAACTGACAAGATCCGGCATACCTAGTCTTTTTCGGCGGGTAGAGGTTGAATGAAACGCGCACGCGATAGAAATGACAGCCTAGGACAGGGAAGAATAGCGGTCAACCTAATTTAGCCATATTCTTGCTACGTTATATTTCAATGTTTTTCCTTCAGGTCTAGACTCTTAAACTCGATCCAGCAAGCTTATGGAAATTTGAATTATGGGTGTTTTAAAAAAAAACGATAACTTGGCCAAAAAAGTGTAGGCCGGCCTACAGTGCCAATACAGACTGATACGCCCTGCGGATGTCGCATGTCTGTGGCGGACATTGTGCTAAAATATGTGTGTTGCTAGGCCAATCATGAGTTGCACCGGCCGGGCGCCCGATTTTGACGCCCGGTGCATGGTCAAGTTCTTGGTGACACGGTAAATGCCGCGTTCACGAACTCATCTCTGACACGTGCGCTCTGTCTTTCTGTTCTCCCCTCCCCACTCTCTCTGCCCCCCTCTTCTCTCTCTCTCTCTCTCCTTCCTCTCTCTCTTGTTTTCTTCCCCCCCCTTCTCTCCCTCTCTTCCTCTCCTCTCTCGTTCTCATCTCCTCTCTCTCTCTTTCTCTTCTCTCTCTCCTCGCCTCTCTCTCTCCTCCCTCTCGTCTCTCTTCTCATCTTCTCTTCTCTCTCTTTCTACTCTCTCTCTCTCTCTCTCTCTCTCTCTCCCCCCTCTCCCTCCTCTCTCCTCTCTCTTCTACCTCTCTCCCCTCTCTCTCTCTCTCTCTCTCTTCTCTCTTGCTCTCTTCTTTCTCCTCTCTCCGCCCCCTCTCTCATCACTCCCTCTCTCTCTTTCTCACCTCTCTCTCTCTCTCTCTTCTCTCTCTTCTCTCTCTCTCCTCTCTCTCGTTCTCTCTTCTTTTATACTTGTCTCTATTTCGCATATTCAATCCTCCCATTATTTATCTCTCATATTCTATTTGTCACATATCTATCTATCTATCTATCTATCTATCTATCTATCTATCTATCTATCTATCTATCTATCTATCTATCTATCTATCTATCTACTATCTATCTATTTCTATCTATATCGATCTAATCTATCTATTTATCTACCCCTCTTTCTCTAGCTATCTATCTATCTATCTATCTATCTATCTATATCTATCTATCGTTCTTTGAGTACGAAGTCCATATAAACAAATAATAAAATGTCTAGATAAGCTATATTTGTATTATGCGGCTTTTTTCCTTCGGTAAGAAAAGACACGATCATTCGTTCTTGCCCGTATGTACGCAGATTCCACGGACGGTCCCGACGCAGAATGACCTTTTTTCCTTTCATGAAGACAACATGCAGCTTAAAGAATTGCACAGCAAGGGCCGCGGGCGTTCACTTGGTTAAATACACACATATGCACGGTCTGCTGTTCGGCTTACAGTTCGTACAGTAAAGACCTTCCGCGGGGTTGGCCGAGCGTGGGTGTCGTAAGTGATGTATGTACGTCCGCCCATACACGTCGCGCAGGCTCGCTCATATACTTATACCTGGTAATTCGAACCGTATATATCCCCGACGGCGGGTATAAACCTGCCCCGTACGTAGCCCTGTATATGCCGCCGACTGGTAATCGTCAGTTACCAGCCGTGTGCTCGTGAAGGGATATTATAGCTTGATAGTATTATGTATTTATAGTTATATATTATTCTCATAAAAAAGTTTTTATTGGCGCAGTAATTAAGTATCGTATATATATATATACGTATATAGTTTATATATATATAGGGTAGACACTGTAGGGGTCATGGTAATTACGTAACGGAGATGCCGCCCCGTGTGAACCGATGAACGATATATGCGATACCAGTAGATTTTTCGCGATAGGAAAACAACCAAACAAAGAGAATATGTGTGATAGTTTTGTATATAACGCTAGAAAATAGTGCAGAGTGCAAGATGATTTAAATAAACTGGAATTAGGATAAGAGTCGATAGGCAATCAGCGTACATCAATAATCAAGCGCGCGGCATGCGTTTGTGATACGATACAGATAAAAAGATTATATTATAATAGGTATAATATTAGACAGTAGCGATATTGTCTTTATTTTCGCGCCACACTTTCTCGGCTGCCTCACACTGTTTACAAAGAAACCCCCTCTCTTCCTAATTCCCTAATTTACTATCCGATAACCGACATACAATTGCCGACTGTTTGATCGTTAAACAGAGACTGCATTATACGTATATATTTTATCTTGGGCGGAAAGATAGCAGGTCAAGGTAGGATACAGTGCGGGAAAAACACGCCGTATCACAAACAGGTATAACGTGTAAGTCTAGATGTTTGACACA